TTATTTGTAGTTTGAAACATCTACAGGGGGTCTTGGTACAGATCTCCGATGCATAAAATGGAACTACTGTACACACACTCTTAAGTCCCTCATTTGGGTGAGATGCATATCATGTGTGCTCACAGTCTAGTGGCCGCAAGTAACTGCAGGCTCCTTCCCTGACAAAGAGCCCAGGAAGGATTGTGAGTTCAGGAACAAGAAATGGCACGGTGCACGAACAACACATGGCATTGTCTCTACTGCCAACTCCGGTGACCTCTCCAAATTAAAGAAGAGTTCTGAGGCTGTGCAGGTGCTGTGTAATGCAACTGAGTGCTGATCTCATTGCTCAGGTTGTCTGGCCTGGAGAGGTAGTGGGCCCTGAGTAGCTCTGCCCCATGGGAAAGTTGAGCAAGCCACCAGCCAGGACAGGAGCTGGCAGGACTGTCCCAGCTCCCGAGGCTGTGCCAGTGGATCTGAGCAGAGTTTGGGGGATGTGAGGAGCTTGGGTCAAAGGAGATCTATCTGCCTGCAGAACCCCAGTGGCCTGGGCCACTGTTAAACTTCAATTAAAATTTTAGCCCTGTTTGATTGATCCCGACACATCACACTCTGTTGCTAGCCACGCTGTTTTCCAGGGTCACTGAGGACTCAGAGAATTTGGTACAGAGATAAAGCCAGTCATTTTTCCTGGAAGGCAGGAACTTTTCAACAAATGTCCAGAGATAGTGCTTAGCATGTTAGCTATGGGGTCTTGGGTTGAAGAAGCTCCGGATGTCACCCACTGGACCATGGACGGACATATGTCTTGCTTTGGTGTGGAGTGGCTCAGGTTCTGAGCAGAGCAGAGCCTTAATACTGAAGGAGAGGATTCAGGTGAGAGGGCTTAGGAAAGTTTCTACCAAGTGTGTGGTCTGGCATCTCAGCCTTGTTTTAGGTTGGCCTCAGTTCTCATGACTTATGTGTTAATGATTCAGCCTCTCATCCTCCACCCTCTCTGGGTGTTGGTTTCTTGGTTCTTGAGTGGGGAGAGTACAGTGAAGTAGGGGATTCATGAAGTTCTCTTCCCAACTAAGTCTCCTAATCTGTAATTAATTGAGATATAGTAAAACATAGCACATATGAACGTATGCTGTTACTTTTATTCATCGTCTGCAGTTCTTTCCCACATTCTGCATAATGAGCAATGACTACAGGCTTAGAAAATCATGTAGAGGTGGCTCTTAGAAGAGGGATGGTGTATATCAAAATAAAACTTCTCATGAAGTTTAATTGAGATTCACTGCCCAAATGAGGCTGAGATGCCACTGAATAAGAACAAGTCTCTAAAGGATGTCGAGTTGGATAATAAAACTTTACACTGCCCCTAACCATGGCTGGTTATATTAGGGAGACACCATCATTCATGGGATTTAGAGGCAGAAGCCTTCTTTTCTTTGCTCCAAGAAAGGAGGACCACAATGGATCTTAGCAGTTCTGAGTTCCTCCTGCGGAAGGAAGGGTGGATGTGGCAGAGTTCATCTGTGGTGCTGGATAGCCTTGGAGTCAGGAGCAAAGCTTTGCATTGAAGTGGTTTGAGAGGACAGCATAACTTACGGCCAAATGCCCTGGTTCTCCTTTTCCTGAATCCTCCTCCTCACTTCCATTGGCCTAACCCTGGACCATGCTCCTCTTCAAGAGGACTATGTTGCTCTTTGTCTCTTGTACCCTTACCCTGTGGGTTAGCAGCAGGTCCATCTGGAAGGGGCTAGAGGCAGGCCCTGGGGAGGCTCACAGATGAAGGGGGAGTAAGGGGAAGGGAGAAGGAAGAAAGAAGGGAATCACGGGCAATAGACAAACTAAGGGCTCTCCCAGCGGTGGAGTGGGAACGGTGCAGCGCTTCTCACCCTGCAGAGTCTTTTCTGGCCTCACTTCTGGCAGCCTCCGATGCACCTGTGGGGCCTGCAGGGCTAGGATGAGAAAGAACATGAGACTGTAAGGAGTGAGGTGTACTGGGGACCTCTGAAACGTTACTGGAAACCTGTGCAGTAGGGTTTCATCTTCTGCTCAGTGTATGGTGCAGGCCTGAGGAAAAAAACCTAAAAGACAGAAATAAGAGAGACAGAAAGTGGGGCGCCAGGACAACCAATGCTGGTGCAACTGACAAAGACACTGGGCGGTCCAAGCCAATGATTTTTATTGTTCATCAATTAGGGTAAAGGTGAGGTATGTGCAAGGATGTGCAGTCATGGTTTCTATGGAAATTAATGTAAACAGGGTTCGTAAAGGACAAGACAAAGCATTCTCAAATTAGGAGCAGAATAAACAAAATATATGGTTGTAATTAGAACACTGTCCTTCTAGTAGGAAGGTTTTAGTTCTGGGAATGGAATTTGAGTTCTAGTTACTCTGACTTTGGCATGTAGGCTTTGGCTGTATTCACTTCTATAACAAGCCAATCATGGGGTTAACTCTTTACAGCCTGCTTTGGGGCATAATCAGTACTGCAGTCTCCCACAGAAGTGACTTGTTGCAGGTCACACATTGAGCACACAGAGGGTCTGAGCTTGAAATTCAAGCCTTTAGTTGCATATGTAGCCCCTCCCCCATTGCCTCATCATCACCCTACTGGGTCATCCATTGGGTCTTTCCACTGGGTCATCCCATTGGATCATTCCATGGGGTCACTGTATTGGGTCACCCCATTGGGTCATTCCATAGGGTCATTGTATTGGGTCATCCCACTGGGTCATTCCATTTCCACCTTTGCTCTCCTTCTCCTGTTCCCACACTCTGCTTCTGGGCAGGACCCTCAGTCTCTACTTGAGCTACTCCCAGCACTAAGTACTGCTTCCTCTGCTGCTCCCTTCCTGTGACTCTTCCAATGAGAACACTCTGCATGTGCTTGCAGTTCTTAGGGACCCGAGCAGGGTAACCTTCTTATCTTATTGGAACTGTTCTGCAGAGACCTCTCAGAGGTTCAGAAGGATGATCCACCAGTCTGACCCTACCCAGCTCTGCGTGACTGAGTGGAATTTGGTCTGAACCCTAGCACCATTCTTTTACTTGTAAGTTATGTGCATCTGTGTGGCCAAAGAGATGAGCTTTGGTTTGGGACTTTATGAGGCAAGGGAGAGAACATATAAGGACTCAGGTCACAGCACATGGGACAGGGCAGGTGTGATGGGCAGAGATCGATGAAGGGAAATCCAGGCTTGGAAGACCAGGGCATTTGGGGGACCCAAGAAGTGAATGTGGAGACTTCCAGCATTACAGACACTGATGGCCATTAGGAATGTTCAGGGAAGAGTTGTGAACTAGCAGGAAGAGACAAAGGAAAGAAAGGAGGGAAGGGAGGGGAAAGCAAGGCAAGGGAAGGGGGAAGAGAAGGGAAAATGGCATCCTTGGGTTCCTGTTCTCATATGCAAGAGATAGTAAATCTTCTCTCAGACCTAAAGCTTATCATGCACTATAAACATACTTTCTCAACAAAGAGGCAAATGTTTAGGGTTTTTGAGACAAGTGACACAAAACCCCATCACGAAAAAAGGGGATCATGGGCCAGCATTGCTTAAAGTGGGCATGGATTTCTGCTTCTTCCTAGTTGCTGTGGCCCTTGGGGCTCCAAGCAGCAGGAGGAGGTGGCAACAGAGATAGCACGGGGAGCAAACATCAGGAGAAAGGAAGCTGGGCTCTGCTGTCTGCTCTGACCTCTACTCTTTGCTCTGACCTCGAGCAAGTCCTGGATTGGACCTTGGGTCTCTCAAAAACTCGGCATTTCATTTGTCAAAGAGGGGCCTTGGTGTCTCTTGTAACAACGGGCAGGGCCCTGGCCCAGACAGCCCCAGAGTCCAGACAGGCCAGGCATCATGTCTCTGTCCAGTCTCCAGAGCTTTTCCACATGCATGTCCCTGATGTGAGCCCAGGACTACGGCTGGAGAGATGCTGTGCCATGGACAAGATGACAACACTGTCATTAAGGCTCCAAAGCTGAAGCATTTCTCCCAAGATCATGCTCAGAAGGGCAAGGCTGGGACCCACCCTGCCTTCTTTAAAGAAGGTGGCCTCTTCAGGACGCATGTGCACAAAGCAGCCTCCGCTCACCCTGGGTTCATCCTGCAGGACAACTGCATAGAAACGGGGCATTCTGAGCATCTTTTTTTCATTTTTGACTCTTTCTTTCTTTCTTTCTTTTTTTTTTTTGGTACCAGGGATTGAACTTGGGACCTTGTGCTTGCAAGGCAGGCGGCAGCACCACTGAGCTAAATCCCTGGCCAGTGACTGTTTCTTTACTTATAAACTATCCCTTCAGGTCCCGAGGAAAAAATTAATTTACTCATTATATTTAGAATTTTGAATGAACATCTTACATTGAAACATGGCTGGAAACAACTACTTCTCTAGCCCATAAAGCAAAACAAAGCTTGGGTTTAAAAATAAACAGCGTGCTGAGATGACAATCGCATTGACAAGAATATCATAAACAAGCCAGCTCCCGATCTGATGCCTCTCGTATGGCATGCCACCTTCAACATGTTGCTGTTATACTTTCTCCCTCCTTAATTAAAACCCGGTACCTAATAAGTGCTGGGCTGTAAAAGGAATTTGTTCTTGAAGTTGGTTTTACGTGCAGCCACTGAAACAGTTGTGACCCAATTTGTATTTCCTGCCAGTTTTGTTATAGTTATATTTGCAAGATTTTTCTCCCCCTAGTTGGAAATATAAAACCACTCAACTCTGGACTCTTGAAACATCATTCTCTGCAGAATTTCCCTATGTGGGTAAATTTTTGCAAGTCACCTTTTCCATGTGCTGTTGCTATCCTGACAGCTCTTGGATTTTTCCAATGTCCCAGATCTGTCATGGTTCCCTTTGCCTGATAAATTCATCAAACACTTCCCATCTTGGCATTCAAGGCCTTTCCTGAATTAGCCCAACCTATGCATTCCACAAAAGCATCTTTTACACAGACTATTCATACACCACTACTCGTTTATTCCATAAGCATCATGTGCCATGTGCTGAAAGAGTCACACTCCTTCTTTTCAGTATCCTGAGAGAATGAAGGCATGAGCTTGCAGATTGTGTTGCTAGGCAGACCCTTAGTGGTGCTATACACAGGTATAAAGGCCCAGGTTGGCATAAGGTGATATTGAAGGGTATTGAATCTGGCTTCCAGAAGGGAGGCATTTGGATGAAAGCCAAAGGAAGAGTTGTTCAAAGGTAATGAGTGTGGGATCCACAAAAGGATGCAGTGCAAATCCCAAGTGCATGGACTCTTCCCTGGGAGTGTCTGCTGGTCTAGTACATTAGGAACAGTGACCATGGTTGGGGAAATCGACCGACAAAACAGATGGAAAGGCCGTTATGGGCCCAGAGTGTAGAGGGCTAATGCTCCACGAGATCAGATCTGATGGTGTTGGTTCAAGGGATGGGAATGATCGTTCTGGGATGCCCAGTGTGCCAATCAACCCAGACACCTGAGTATTTCCCATGCATTCCTGGCTTCACCCACTCCAGGGGATGCCCCATTTTCAATCTCCTCTTTTTGGACTGACGGTCTTTTCCTTCTGCTTAGGACACTCCACCCATTCTTCTATTTCCTGCCTCCAGACTTGGGGCTCCTCTGAAGAACTTCTCCTCAGGGGAATGTATGCATGTGAGTGCCTCTCACTCCTTGTATCTGCTTTCAGTGATTTACAAATTCCTCAAACTTCAAGTCTTCTAGTGCCCCCCTCTTGCTTGTTCACTCCTTCTGTTTTCTTGCCTAGTTTGAAATATAGTCCTAGAATTTTTGCAAGATTTTCCCCAAGCACAAGAAGAGTTACCAGTTCTGCCTGCCATCTTGAACTGATCACAAAACTTTTCATTCTTCATTCCATTTCATCATTCTACTTTTCTCTCTCACATAATATTCTTTAAGAAGAGGAAGAAAGTCCTTTCCTTTCCCTTAGTGTCACAAGGCAACATATGACAAAAATCACACATACAAAATATCCACTGTTCATTGACCTTTCCTGACATCTTCTCTCCAGGAAATTCCATAGTAATAAACTTTCATCCTTGTTGAACAGACAATGATATACATTCCTTACTGCAGCCTAAATGTAAGATGATGTTTGTATCAATTAGCCTTTCTGTCACAGGAACACAATACTGGACAATCATAACTTAAAGACGGAGAGGTTTAATTTGGCTCAGATTTCAGAGGATTCAGTCCATGGTGGGCTGAATGTTCAGCCAAGGTAGGAATATCATGGCAGAAACACATGACAGAGCAACGATTCTTAGTTCATGGATGTAGGAAAGCACAGCATGGGGACAATGCCAGAGAGAAAAGGGTGAGAAACCAGACCTAGTAACCAAGGTCATGCCTCCAAGATCCATCCAGACACACCTATATGTGTGCTTCATTAATTTCTTGGGTGGCTCCTGAGCCAATTAGGTTGACACAAATAATCTTACCCATCACAATGTTGCTAATATCTCTTGCTCAAATTTGCATTGGCAGTGTATCGATCACCGGATGTTGGGATTCCGTGATGCTGGTGCCATTCAATTGCAATGCTACTGCATCAACACAGTGGCACCACCCAATTAATGGATCTCCATGAGTTAGTCTTCAATGAACCCAGCCAGGTTAAAATTAAGAATGAAAACCCACTCTGGATCAAGCAGCAGAGAAGAGATTTTCAAGACAAGATTCTCTTTCAGTTGCTTCTGCTTATTTAAAGATATAATATTAATCATGACCACTTACCACTGACTCTCTGTCATGCACTAGGATGTATGCTGTGGCATGTGTTATTATACTTAGTCCTTTCCAAAGTTTATGAGGTAAATACTTCCATGTTTTATAGAGCTGGACATCAAAATGTGAAGCATTTAAATAGCTTTTCAGAGTTACATAGCAAGTATGAGGTTGAACAGGATTCCCACCTCAGGCACTCTAGCACCTGAGCTTGAGTTCTTAACCACAGCCCCAGCCCTGAACTGCTCAAGCTACCATCCAAGGCTGAGGGCCAGAGTCACCCAAATTGTGGATTTCAGGATTTTATTACTGCAGACCTGTTTGAACAGAGACTTAAGTATCCAGACTTCTAATGTCAGAGAACCGGACGAGCTTATGCACACCAAGGGTTTGGAGCCAAAAAGCTAAGGAGCATAGACCTGCATACACCCTACAGGCAGGGAAGAGGGGCTACCAAGAGAACTCCAGTGCTCTTAAAAGAGGAGGTAGCAGGACTGTCTGGGGGCTCTGGTAAGGGCTGCTGGGCTAGGAGTAAGGACTTCTCCGGTCCCTGTTCCAGGAATACGATTGTGCTTCCATTCTAGTGTGGTAGAAGTTTGGATGACAACCATCTCTGAATCATCTTCTTTCTAAGTCACATGTAGACTGGAAGCAACTCTCTAGGCAAAAGGCAGTGTTACCCAGCTGGTCTGAAGCCCCCCTCAGACCTTCTCCTTCTACAGTTGCTCCTCCAAGATTCATACCTCACACACTTCTGCTCCTCCAGAGAGAAGTCTTTGTGGGCCATGCCCATCCCCAGCAGTACAGCCTGAGGTTAGTCATTGTCTGGCTCACTGTGGCCACTCAAGGCTAAGTGTGCTTACTCCATCCTGGGGGCAGGTGGGGGTCCTTGGTGTGCAGAGGTAGACAGTGAAGCAAAAAGACAAACCTAAGTTTGTCTCTAGTTTGTCCACCTTGACCTTCCGCTTTGGGAAAATCACTCTTCACTGTCAATCAAGGTTCTTCAGCCTCTAGTACTATGTATTTTTCTGACCTCCACCTTGTGGATTTTATCAAGTTCATAGGGCCTTTGGAAGTCTTTTTTCCTCTTCAACTTGAAATGTCAAAATTAGCATCCACATATGATTTCCTTGGAAAACCACTTAGCTCAGAAAATATTTGGAGAGCACCATGCTGTGCTGTAAGACCCAGCTCTTGTCACGTGAGCAATCATATTCTAGCTAGGAATGGGCAACTGCTCTGAAATAATGAGGTAGCCTACAGCAACATACACAGCATGATGAGAAAAGATGTGAAGTATTTTTCTCATTCAGAGAGGGTTTTTAGTCAGTTATGCACTGATGATTTCAATGATATGAGGCGTTAAATAACAATGACATCCTCAGTTCACAATTACTATTACCTTCATGTCATTTTGCCACTTCCTTTACTGCACCTATTTTCCAAAACCCTACAACACTACCTATAGGGTGCAAAGTTCACATAGTAAATGTAGTCCAGGCAAACTGTAAGCTGGATTGAAGGCAATGCATTAAACCCAGGACTCCAAAATATTGGATGAGTGAATAAAAGAGTAAGGAAGCAGTGCTTTCTGTGACCATAATGGCCCTTAATTTTTGTAGTATATTTGTCCAGTTTCATAGTCTTATTGTGTTTTTTAGCTTTTGTGATTCTTGCGAATACTCTGTGAGGTATTTTCACCATCTATTTCTGGAGAGGAGGAGTTTGATACTCACCAGGACTTTGATTAGCCCAGCCTTATACTCCTGGACATGGGCTGATTAGTCCTTGGTCTCTGGTCTGCCTTGATTTTGATTTTACCCAGATTCCCCTGTAGGAATTAGAGGTGAATGCTATTTATTAACTGAGATATTTTCCTATGAATTGCTAATCTTTTCTCCTGAGTTGCAATTCATAGATTATTATCCTTTTTACCATTTGCAGTAATCAATATATGATAAATCCAAAGTAACATTGAGCTGAAATGAGTGTACTTGATTCTAGTTTTTGATTTATGCATTTCTACTAGGTGGGTGCTTCTTTAACTTCATCTTACAGAAACTTTTAGAGCCATTATGCATAGGGAGCATGTAGCACTGTCCCCTAACTTCCTGTCACCCTAGGCTGCCATGGGCTCCTTGTCACCCTGGATTCCGCATGTCAGAATTTTCCTCTGAGTCCCTCTCCTCCACGTGCTACCTACAAGCTGGTGTTGCCCAACTCTTGGTCCTCAGCCCTTTTCCTGTCAATGCCCTTTTCTACTGCATTGCTTCTAAACCTGGTGGTTTATTCACTGATATGCTTGTTTAGCCTAATCTGGGCTTTAAACCAACAAATCTGAATGCCTATTTGGAGTCTAACAGCCTTCTTTTTTGACTCATCAAATATATTTATTCATTTCTTACTATGGATTAGGTATTCTTATAGGCACCCAGGACACAGTGAGGCAAAGACTTAAGGTTACTTATCCATCTGTAACTTATCAAGGTGGAACTGTGTTCCCCATTTATGAACCCTGTGCTCCAGTTTGCCTTAACTTAGTGAATGAGGTTCCATCTTTCCAGTTGTCTTAGCTGAAGACCTGGGAGCTGCCCTGATTGTTCCATCTACCTCACTTCTCAAGCCCTGCCCATCAAGAAACGCTGTCAGTCCTGATCTTGACATTTCTCCCAATTTCTCTCATTCTCTCCAAGTGTATTGTGGCTATGCCTGGTCTAGGAAGACCAATGTTACCTGATGGCCGAGCGCCTGCCATAGACTCCTGACTTCCTCTTTCCATTCTTCACCTTCACGATTTGCACCATTGCAAGGGTGACCTTGAAATATGGGGCCACATCACTTCCCGATGAAAACCGCTGTCTTTCCAATGCATGTGTGATACAGTTTGGATTGTTCACATGACCTACCCACAAGTCTTCTGGACATCTGAACACCCATCGGACATGTCTCCAACCTTATGTCATTCTTTTCTTATCTCTTTTCCTGCTGCCACATTAGTCTTCCTACGGGTCCTCGAATATTCTAGAGTTCCTTCATACTTCGAGAGTTCCTCGTATGCAATGCCTGGATATTCTTTGTTTTTCCATTTGTTCCTTGGCTCCTTCTCAACCTTTCAAGTTACACTCAGTGATCTGTCCCAGAGAGGCCTGCTTTGAGTGCACTTTTTATCTGATCTCAATACTTCATTCTTTATAGGACTTACCACAGTAGTGATTATTTTATAGAGGTTTTTTGGTTTAGATATTTTAAAATCTCTTTCCCCACTAGAATATAAGTCAACTGCAGGCAGATATTACGGTATCTCATTCATTGGAAGTGGTGACTTCTCATGCCTGGCATGTAGAATGCCCACAATTAATACTTGTTGATTGACTGAATGATTATTTGCCATCTGAAAGGCAGGTTACTGAGATTCCTGCTCAAAACTAATCAAATATCTTAAAGCAAGTTATTGATTTTTTTCTTGAATTAACCATGAATAATAACCTACTCTGTGGTATCTTTGACACTGATGAACTAATTCAAGTTAAACACAAGCCAGTCTCTCTCTGAGTAGACAGTTAATAAATGTGGATATCACTCCTCTTCTGGACTCAGGGTCACGCGACAAAGTGCAGAAGGGGCTGTCTTAGATGGTTTCTCAATTTTCAAGTATTGGCATTTATCATTCGTTCATGAAAATTTGAATTGATCACAGCTGCCAGTCCTTCATGCCAGACTCCATGGAGAAAAGTAAAATGTGAGCCTCTGAGGAAGAGCTGGCTGTGGAGAGAGACAAGTTCAGACCCAACTCAAGGGAGGCAATGAGAAGATGGGAGCATTTGGGAAAGATACGGGAACCCATACACTCTCTGAAAGTCCAAGGGAAAGAGATTAAAATCTTTCCAAGTTAAAAAGGGGCCTCATGGTGGTAGTGACATTTCTGTTGGGGTTTGGGAATAAAATAATATCAACAGAAAAAGGAAACAGGAAGAAGGAAAGAAAGGCAATGGACAAGAAGCAAGCTGATCTAGCACCCTTCACAGATCCACAGATGTCCTATATCTGCTAGGCACAGGGATTCCTAGTTTTGTTATTCTTGCTGTCCTCTGATTGCTTATTTTAGATAAGAGAATTGAATTTGAGGATTGGCATGTTTTTCTTAGGAGTTCTTCACTAACAGTAATGAAAAGATTTATGGATCTGGGCTTTTGGACTCGGCTCTGTCCTAGCTGCTCCTTGTAGATCCTGAATTAAGCAGGTGGCCCCAGGTCTCCCTTCATCATCTTCTCCTACCTGCTGAGGACCCACTTCTTAGTAGTGTGCTCATCCTGAGCAGCTGAAAATGTCTCCCATGAGCATGTTCCCCAAATACTCCAGGCACAAGCTTCAAGTTTTCTGGCAGTCTCTAGAGAAAGGGAGATGTCTAGGATGCCTGAACTGAGTGGGGACCTTCTGTGTGGCTGGCTATTCCACACCACCCACCTCCTAGCGCACTGTGTGTGTTGAGAGCCCTTTCTTCAGAGCAGAGTCATTTTAGCTGGTGGAAACCTTCTCTCTCCTAATTGGCCCATACTCCAGTGTTTGCAAGAGGTGGGATCTGGTGAGGTACTCAGGGTCTCAGAGAGGAGGGGCAGCCACAAAGATGATGTCTAAGGCTGCTTCTGATTGCTAGCACCCAGTATAGAAGGAGGTTACCACTTGGGTCTAGAACCTATGCTTTTGTCACAATGTGTGGTGCTGGCACTAGGAGAAGGCTGGGGCTTCTGAGAGGATGAGGTAAACCCGATGTCACAGCTCCGCAGTAACAGAGGGACCTGGAGAACCCTCCCTCCTAGATATGCACGTTCTGCCCCAGGTACTGCCCTAGTCCTCTCCCTACCAACCACTCCCCACCCACCACAGTTGGCCCTAAGAATTTGGGGGTTCTGTGTCCATGAATTCACAAACCACAGACTGAAAATATTTTTCAGGTTTTTCACCTGCACTAAATACTGTACAGACTTTTTCTTGTCATCATTTCCTAAACATCACCGTATAAAAGTACTTATATCTTTATGTTGTATTAAGTACTGTAAGTAATGTAGAGAGGATGTGAAGCGCACAGGTGGCCATGTGTGGGTTACATGCAAATACTACTCCACTGTATGGAAGGCACGTGGGCACCCTCAGCTTTTGGTGCCCATCTCCCACTGATGCCTAGGGAGGACTGTACAGGCACCAGCTTCTCACTAAATGGTGAGACAGAGCAAGGACAGGAGCAGGGAAGGAGGTACAGTGCTCACTGAAACAAATCTGACAGCTAACTGACTGGGTGTCGGTCATAATGCAGTTTGTGAGGCTGAGAAGGACTGGAAGTCTGTGTATAAGAGAAGATCAGGCACTTGGAGACTTCCTTTGGCTAATGAAGGAGCTGGACACTGGGGCCCAGGCTCTCAGTGAACCTGCGAGGAGAGAGGTGTCAGACCTTGGGGACCGCAGCCCCGGTGACAGGTGTGTGAGGGCTCTTGGTGAAGGCTAGGATTTGACTTGCATCCCTCCTCTCTGCCAGCCTGGCTGCCCCCTCCTATGTTGCCATGAATGTCTGTTAACTTGTCCTTTGGTTCTGTTCGTGGTGGCTTGGGGAAGGACCGGTGTGCAGGGAAACTGAGCAGGGACCCAGAAGAATTGCAGAAGATTGGAAGGCTTCAGGGAGGCTCAGATGGGGACCCAAGGCAGAGCTGCAGGCTGAAGGAGGAGCCTCGAGGGAGCTGTGTGCCGAACTGAGCTAAGCACAGTGAGTCTTCGGTGGCTTCAGGCCTGCAGCTCGGCAAGTGCATGGACTCCACAGGCGGGCCCGGGTGGTGAACAGGCTTGTCCCCAGCCCGCAGTCCCCCTCCAGCCCCCAGCACCTCAGGTTTCCTGTCCGTGTGGCCCAGTCATCTACTTTGCGCTTGTGACCCTGTGGATGGGGATTTGTTGCTCTAGGCTCCGAGCTCAGGCCAAGTGCGGATGCCTTCCAGCTGACGGGAGTAGGAGAAGAAACATCCTGCGGGCCATGTGAGTGAGGAAAATAACCAAGCCTAACAAAAGACAGGACTGCGGCCTTCACTTTTTCCTTCCCTCAGCTCGGCGCGGGCGCCCGTTCACACCGGCTCCAGACTGCAGTCCGGCCCGACCCCTCAGAGGCCTCTCTCCTCCGCACCCCAAAGCCCCATCTGTCTCTTTTCTCCTCTCTTTTCCTTCCCAATGGCCTTTCTTTAATTTCAGAAGAAAACTTACGAAAATTGTTGAAACACACACTACAAAGCCAAACCTTATTTTTTTTAACATTTGGCGGAGAGCTCCTCACCCCCCAGCCCCCCAAAAAAGGCAGCCGTGTCAAAGACACTGTCTCCCCCCTTTGACATTCATGCCATGCTCAGAGTCAGCTGGGGTCTCGGCTCTGACAAATTTGCATCTCTTTGAATGTGACGCTTGAAAAAAGCCAGAGCCGCTAGATTAAATTTTTTTTTTTCCGTCGAGAAAATGAGAAAAGCCTCTATCTCTCGGCAGAGTCTACTGGGAAGATCTTTATTCTGATTCTTGTTAGAATTGTTTATCACCCTGACAGGCCAGACTCGGACGAGATAAAGGCCCGGCAGCATCACGGGGCCTGACAGTGGTAGGACACACAGAAAAATGAAAGGAGCAGGAGAAAATATTATTAATAGATGCCGACTCGACTCGCTTTGCCTGCGTGGCACGTCAGGGAAGGGAGAGGGAGCCATGGCTTGATTGCAGGCCTATGAAGTTCTGTCCAAAAAAGAAGCTATTTTTCATTAAGTGATAGAAGGGCCTTTTTCATGTTCTTTCCTGAGGAGCTGATAACTTATGCAGTTTATTCTAACCCTGCTGATTTCTGTCAGGGGAAGCAAACTCCTGAAAGATGGCTCCGACTTGTCCTTTTCAGGGAGAGGAGGCTGGGTTGACAGGCACACGGGTAGAGCCAGGCCCCGGCCTGGCTGGCTGGAGGTCCCCGGACTGGACTGTGGTGGGGCCGCACGTGTCCCTTGTGGTGAACGCAGGATGGCGGGGAAGGGAAGAAGCCTGAGTCTGAGTGGATGCAGTGCCTTCCACTGCAGGCTCGAGTGTCCAAGCCACTTCAGAAACTACACTCTCCGTGTCCCCTGTGTGAGGACGTTCTGGGCCACACCACTGTTGACCAGGCTGCTGTGACAAAACACCATGCGCAGTGGCCTCACAAGTGAAAATCTGTTTTCTCATAATTCTGGAGGCTGAAAGTGCCAGGTCAAGGCCCAGCAGGGTGGGTTGCTCTGCAGGCCTCTCCCTGGGCTTGCAGATGGCTGCCCTCTCTGGGGTCCCCACCTGGCCTCTCCTCTGCCTGTTTCCCCTCAGACCCCTGCTCTTTTCCTGAGAACGTCAGGCTCAGGACCCCACCCTGGTGACCTCATTTCACCTGAATCACCTCCTTGAAGGTCCTGTCTCCAAGAGCAGTGGCCTTGTGAGGTAGCAGGGCCTCAGACGTCAGCAGGGCAGTTTGGGGAAGAAACAATGGAGTCATCACAGCTGTGCCCTGATTCTCTCCTGGACTGGGTGGCAGAATTAGAATGAGTGCCCTACTGCCAGCACTAAGGTCCGTGGAATTCCCTCCCATGAACAGCTGGGGTGGGGAAAATGGTAGTCAGGCTGGATGGGGCACAGAGCTTCAGAGATGGGCAAAGAACCTGGGCCTCAGTGAATGAACTTGGGCTTAGATGGAATGACACTTCTGCCTTGCCATCCATCTCAGTTACTACTTTAGAACGTGGTTTATCAGGTTTTAGCCTCAACATCCTCTTAGGTAAAATGGAAGTAATTATAATGGGAGGAGCTGTGATCATTAAACAAAGTATATTCGAAGGGTGGATCACCCCAGGGGTCAGTAATACTCAGTGACAGCTTTCCTGCTGGCGCTGTCACTGATGATGATGGTGGTGATGGTGATGATGATGAAGATGATGATGATGGAACAGTCGTTTGCTTGATAACCAACTGCACAGCACGTGACCCATGCCAGGCACTGTCCTTGGTCTCTCTGTTCTTCATTTCATTTGGTGCGTATAACAGCCCGAGTGAGCAGGTATCATTATTATCCACGTTCTGAAGATGAGGACCTTGAGGATAGAGGAAAATCAGAGATCTCTCCTGCGTTGCACAATGAGTCAGACTGATTGCCTGGGATGCTGCTGGGTGTTGGCTGTACAGTCAGGAGGGCCTTTCATTTTACCTCATGACCTAGAGAAAATTACTAAATGCCTGAGGAGGTAGTAGAATCCAAGATGGATAAAGTGTGCACGCACACACACACTCACACACACTCACATACACACACACACACACCCCATTTCCCTGGCTCCTCTCACGAACTCTGGGAGGAGGTGGGTTCTGCCATTCTTATGAGCAGATCAGGGCTGGGAGGCTGACCGAGCAGCTTCCTCCAAGTCTCTGCATATGACCCTGCAAAGGCCTGATTTGAAGCCCAGTTGACTCCCTGTGGCTCCACCCCAGCCTCCCAATGTGGGGAGGGAAGGTCTTCACACCCCAAGGCTGTGAGGTTCCCCAGGAGCAAGGACGTAGGGAAGGGTCGCTACACAGAGATGGTGCTGGTTTCCATATCAGATTCTCAACAAGGTCCTCATTGTCCGGACAAAATGTGCTCATGAATGTTTCCCAATCATGGCATTTCCAGTGTACCTGTTGTTTCTCTCCTTTTGATGGTGATGTGGGCAAGAGAAATATTCTACTCTAAGAAAAGTCCTGAACAAGGCACTTGAAATGAGAGCCAGAAGCCCATGGCTTCTGAGATCCCGTGGCCCCCGCTGGAGGGAGAGGACTGAATATCAGGGTCCTACCCCAAAGACAGTGGGGTTGGAGGTATGAAGGACTCAGATCTCTGTGGCTCCAGCCAGTGTGGCCATGAGCTGAAATGAGTCCTTGTCTTCCTGCTTTTCAAGAGCAGCTGAAAATTAAAAGGTAAAATTCCCATTTTAAACTGTGGAGCAATTAAAAGAAAATGAAATCAAACTGGTCACCATCGCAGGCTGGATTCAGAACCTCAGACAGCAAGGTTGCGCTGGGTCCTGATTCTCTTGGATCAAGGCGGCCTACTCTGCAGCATTTACTCGCTGCCACCGCAGCCTCTGCCCATTGTGCTACACACAAAGCCGAAGCTCTGCCAGGGACACAGATTTCCTGAGCTGCTTCCTGGCACAAGGCAGCAAGGAAGGGGCAGGGGACAGAGGCAATGGCTTGGTCTGTGGCCTTCAGGAAGCCCGGCTCCCCTACGTGGAAGATGCAAGCATTTCCTGTGGAGTGTGATTAGGAACCACAAAGAGACTCAGACATGTGCTCCTTCTGCATTGGCAACTGAGTTGACAGAGCCACAGGAGGTGTAAAACGCAGGCTTTGCATGTGTCTGTGTGTGTGTGTACGTGCGTGTGTGTGCACACTTGCTGCTATGTACTGCTGTCCAAGCTTCCATGTGATTTCTTACTTGAAGGTGATGAGATGGGATATTGTGTCTTTTCAAAAAATGTAACCAACAACAAACTTTACTCTGTGTAATTTTAGCAAAGAGGCAAGTTTGCCAAAGTGCAGCCTGTTATTGTCAAGCTACTGTGACAAAACAGTGTATCTGTGAGTATGAAGAAGGGAAGCAAAAAAAAAAAAAGAAAGAAAAAAGAAAAA